AGAGAAACAACTAAAATGCAGACAAGAAGAAGGACACAAAGGAAGGAGATGGAGGAAAAGAAAAGATTGGACATTGAGTTCAAAACTACAGTTATAAGGTTATTCAACAATATCCTAAAAAGGCCGATAAAATAAATGAGACCTATGAGGATCTGAAAAAGGAGCAACTAGAAATAATAAGGGATCAACAAGAAATGAAGAAAACATTGTCTGAAATAAAAAATATTATACAAAGTCCTAAAAACAGACTGGAAGATCGCAAGAATCAAGACAAAGATTTAGAACACAAAGAACCAGAGGACATGCCTCTGCAGAAGGGAGAAGATAAGAGAATCCAGAAAGTTGAAGATAGTGTAAGAAACCTCTGGGACAATTTCAAACGAACCAACATCAGAATTATGGGGATTCCAGAAGAGAGAGAGCAAGATACCGAAAGAGTACTAGAAGAAATAGTGACAGAAAACTTCCCCCACCTGGTGAAAGAATTAGACTTACAAGTCCAGGAAGCCCGCAGAACCCCAAACAAAAGGACTCCAAGGAGGACCACACCAAGACATATCATAATTAAAATTCCAAGAGCAAAAGACAAAGAGAGAATATTAAAAGCAGCAAGAGAAAAGCAGGTAGTGACCTATAAAGGAGCACCCATAAGATTGTCAGCTGATTTCTCAACAGAAACCATGCAGACCAGACGGGAATGGCAAGAAATATTCAAGGTGATGAGTAACAAGAACCTACAGTCAAAAATAATCTACCCAGCAAAGCTATCACTCAGAATCAAAGGACAGAAAAGAGCTTCACAAATAAAAAAAAGCTAAAAGAGTTCATCACCACCAAACCAGAATTATATGAATTGCTGAAGGAGGTTATTTAGGAAGAGGAAGAAGATAAAGATAAAAATTATGATCAACAAATACGTAGCTATCAACAAGTGAATCTAAAAACCAAGGCAATTTAAAAATCTGATGAACAATATTAACTGGTGAATATAATAGAATCAGAGGTATGGAAGGGGAGTGGACTGACGATTCTCAGGGAAAAGGGGAGTGGGGGTGCGGGAAGAGACTGAACAAAAACTGTGCACCTATAGATGAGGACAATGGAGGATGGGGAAAGGACAGAGGGTGGGGTGGGAACCTGGTGAAGGGGAGCAATTGAGGGGGGGAAGAGGATCACATTTGTAATAATCTGAACAATAAAGATTTATTTTTTTAAAAAAAGAAAGAAACTCTCCTTAGTGAAATCTAGGTAAGGGAAGTAGTCTAAATTATTTTTACTTTTAATATTAGAATCCACAAATATTTATTTATTTGAATTATTTAGAATTTAATCTTTTTCCTTAGATTTCAACTTCTTATTTTCTAGTTTTTCTAAAAACTGAGGGCCATGGGAAACTAAGATGAAAATCAAATAGCAATTCACCCTCTCCTTTCCTGATTACAGGGTAAATTTTCAAAATACTTTATATAGAGGTAAAAATACAGATACATTCTATTAAATAATTCAGGCACATAAATTGAAAGTTATTTTCAAAGTAGCTAAATAATTAAGTGACTTCTAATTAATACTTTTAAACAAACAAATAAATAAAATTTCATCCTAGGCTTAACATTTGACTGTACTAACAGGTATATGTATTTCTGCTGAAATCCTATCTAATAAAAGAGTAATATGCAGATTGACCATCACTCCAACACACAATATTGATGCCCCCATGTAGTCAAAGATGGCTGCCCCCATGTGGACACAAGATGGCCACCACAAGATGGCCAAAAGGGGAGGGCAGATGGGAGGGACCAGGCCTGCAACGGAGGACAGTTGGAGGCAATCAACCCTGCAAGGGAGGGCAATTTGGGATGACTGGGCAGGCAGAGGAGAGAAGTTGGGGGCAAACAGGCTGGCAGGGGAGCAGTTATACATCAATCAGGCTGACATGGGAGTATTTAGGGGGTAATCAGGCTGGAAGGCAGAAGCAATTAGGGGCAATCAGGAAGGAAGCCAGGCGAGCAGTTGGGAGCCAGCAGTCCTGGATTGTGAGAGGGATGTCACAATCTGGATTGTCACAATCTGGATGTCACAGTCCTGGATTGTGAGAGGGACTGCCCATTTAGGTCCGTTTCAAGGGGACCCCGATTGGAAAGAGTGCAGGCTGGGCTGAGGGACACTTACCCCAGCCCTATGCATGAATTTTGTGCACCTGGCCTCTAATCTATAAAGGGTAATATGGTAATTAGACAGACAGCCGAATGACCTTCCAGACATTCTTCCAGACAAAGCTAGGGTGGCAGCTGCTGTGGCAGCGCCGGTGGGGGCCTACGCAAACGTGGCTGTGATTGACACCCTCCAGCCTTGGTGAGCCTATGGCCCCTCCCCCACTCCAGCCGCCAACCCTGCTCAGTTCTGGGTCCCACAGTGCAACTCCCACCTCTGCCATCCTGTCCCGGTGCCACCCTACACCCTGGTCTGGAGTCCTTCGTGGGACCACACACCCATCGCACCCACCAGGCAGGAGCCAGAGGCGTGTCGGAAGGCAGCCTGCTCTGCTCCTGTGGCAGCTTCCCCATGTCCAGGACTCAGCTGCACAATATGATGTTTCTATACACATAGATATTTGTGAAAATGATTGTAACAATAAGGTTGGTTAACAACTCCATTTACTTCAATTACCCTTTTCCTGTGTGTGATGAGATCTTTTAGTATTTATTCTCTTAGCAACACTCAAATATATAAAACAGCTTTGTTAACTATAGCAGCTATGCTGGACATTAGACCCCCAGCACATTTTCATCTGGTAATTGGAACATTGTGCCCTTTGACCAACATCACCCCATTTCCCTCAATCTTCAGCTCCTGACAACCATCCTACTATAAGTTCACCTTTTTATTTTGATTAGGGCTACAAATGAAGACTTGGGAGCCAGTCCCTTCCAGTTGTGAGTTACTAATTTCTAAGAGAGAAGAAATGATTAGAGATGGTCAACGAAAGATGTCAGCATTGAGATGGAAAGAAGCAGTTTTAAGAATAAGGAAATGTTTAAACTTTCAAATATTTTAGATAGGTCAAGGAGAACAGATGTCCTGGAAAGATAATTGGACTTGAAGGACGACACACTGGGGAGTGCAGCTTTTACAAAACTCTCTTTAATTGTCTGCAACCTACATTCAGTCTCATCAATGATGAGACTGAATGTAGGTTGCAGACAATTAAAGAGAGTTAATGAAAATAGCAGGTATAGAATGCCTTTTAAGAAGGTTGATGTTAAAAAATTGGGGGAAAATAGGAACTAAAGAGTATAAGGTCAATTACGGTTTCCCAAAGTAGAACAGAACTTCACCACCTTTTACAGTGGCAAAGTCTGAAGCCAGTTGAATCTTTTGACCACTAGCTTTATGCTTTGTTTTTCAGAAACACTAGCTCTTTAACTTTTACTACATTACCCTATCTCTCTTCCTCTCCCTTTGCTCCCTCTCTGCTCTTTTTTCCCCCTCCCTAGTCCTAGACTTGTGCTGTTCCAGTGGGTAGCTGTTAAGCACATGGCTACTGAATACTTAAACTATAAATAGTCTGAATTAGACACACTACAATTACTAAAAAATCATAACAGATTTTGAGGACAGGGTATGAAATTGTAATGTAAAATGTTTTATTAATAATTTTATGTTGATTATCTGTTGAAATGATATTTTAGATGCATTTTACTAAATAAAATATACATTATTAAAATTAACTCATGTTTCTTTTAACTATCTTTTAATGTGGTTACTGGAAAGTTATCTATTATATGTGTGGCTTACATGATATTTCTCTTGGCAGCCTTGCTCTAGGCTCTATTGCCTGGGTCCTCTCTCAGCTTCAGAAACCACCTGTAGGTAATTGACTCACAAATATATGTCTTTACATAAATGTATGTTCAGACATCTCCTCTGAGCCTTAAACCTTAATATTCAGTTGCCAATAAACATATTCTTTTAGAAGTTTCAAAGGCACCTCAAAAACAGCACATGTGAATTCAGACTTATCTTCTGTACCCCTTTCCCCAAACTTGATCTTCATCCAATATTTCCAGACTCAATGATTACCATCATCACCCTACTCCATAAGCCAGAATTTTAGATCATTCGTCTTTGAATCCTACATCCACTCTTTCATGAAGTCCTGCTCATTTTATATCGTAAAGATTCCTCCAATTTGTCCATTTCACTCATTCTACCACCTAGGACAGGCCACTATAATCACTTTCCCTGGAAATTTCAATAGTTTTCCCACATCCAGTTTGCCAGCTTCCAATCTATTCTTCATGCTTCTAGCAAGAATTAAGTTATAAAATGTAAATCTGATTATATCAGCCTTCTTTATAAAGACTTCCCAAGGATTCTTATTGCTCTTAGGATGAAAACCAAAATTTGCAATATTGTTTGTCCCCTGCCCTCATAATTTGTCCCCTCCCTCCTTGCCACACTCCCTTGTACCATTTCCCCCTTAATTCATTTTGCCTCACTGACCCTCTTTTAGTACCTTGAACTGGTCATATCCTTCCAGAAATAGGGGCTTTGTATATGGTCTCACGGCTCACCCACTTCTTCCCCTGGTAAATGCTGTTCAGCCTCCAATTTCAGCTCACTCATCACTTCTTGAAGGAAAGTTCTCTGTCACCTCCCTACTCCACTACCCACCACAAGTAATAACAACAGTGGCAGTGATGATAGCATTTATAGGCCCTCTTCTAGTGCTTTTTCCATTTTCAGGGTATAATCCATTATCATATCCATTTTTTATGAGGAAATTGATGCACAGATAGGTTACATAATTTTCTCATGATCACCTAGAAATTAGGCATCCTGGTCCTAAAGTCCACAGGGTTAACTACTACATTATAGAAAAGTTTCATATCTCCAATAACTTTGCCTTAATAATTATAAAGTTGTGATTTTAAATTCATTTGGATAACTATTTGGTTAATGTCTGTATCCCATAATTGCCCCCATTTTTTTTATTTTACAAATGTCTAAGGTAGGAAAAATGAATGCCCAGTTTGTTGCAGCCCTGACAATTGTTCTAAAGGATTGATCCTGGCTTCCAGTCCTAGCTACGGAGAAAGAAACTCCATGCTGCCGATGGGAGAGAGGCCCTCCCCCGCCTCAAATTTTTAAGGGGAGAAAAGGCAGATACCATATCTGCTTTTGTTTATTGCTTAACCATAGTGCCTAGAATTGTAGCTGGCATAAATTAGAGACTCTATGTGAGGAAGAAATGGAGGAAGGGAGGGAGAAAGGAAAAAAAGGAGGAAGGATAAAGGGGAAGAGAAGAAGAAAGCAAGTTCCATGTCTCACTTTATGATTTCTCTATTGAGTATAGCTTAGCCAACTACTTTCTATCTCTTAATTCCTACATCTCTCTTAGGAATTCTGACTTTTCCTCTAACAACAAATTCAAAGATCCAGTCTGATATGTACCAAATGATTTTAGAACATCTCCTGAACAATTACTTGATTAAGAATAGCTGATTCATTCCATATTTATTTCAGAAAGAGGATGCCAAAATTGGATCAAATGTTGAGTAAAGTATCTATAGCATGAGTGTCAAGTTCTCTAAACACACCCTACCCTGCAGTCATAATGGAGACTACTTTCTTACTCAAAACTTCATGAGCTTTCATGCCTCTGACACATTGCTTATCATTCCTTTTCAAATCCTTCTGAGAAAATGTCTATATATTTGTTAGGTTAGGGTCAGATGTCTTCTCTTGGGTAATCTGTAATAAAACAACCATTATTGTCTTTTTTGTTTCATGTGTGTGCACATACATGTTTCTTATATACATGCTGGGCCTAACTATAGAACATTTTTATATGATTTCTCTTTTGAGGGTATGTCCTTGTAGTTAAGTTTGGAAGCTCCCTGGAGTGGGCATTCCTAGTGTGAAACTAGTCTTCTGTCTCTCACACTCTTGGAAATGGATCTCCCTGGGCTGAGCCATGCCTGAATTTCCCCATGACTGGGAGAAGACAGCATCTGTTTTTCAGAAATAGACGTGGAGATAGGTAAGGAGGCCTTGCTATCGGGAATCATAAAGGCAAAATGAGCAATTCATTCATATAAACCAGATTGTCAAGATCAGCAGCCTTCAGACTATTTCAACACCTTGATCTGTCACAATCAGTTATGAGATGCATGGTAATTAACGCATTCCTAAGCATAAAACACCAGAGTTTAATGTGATTTATATAACTAGGGTAGATTACAGATTATCTTAATAATACCTTCCTCACTCTTTTACATTAAGGTATGCTATCCTGGATGGGAGAAGTATGAAGAGGAATAGTAGTTAAGCCAGTAGACAATTGTTCATTCATTACATGAAGAAGTCCATGGAAGTGTGTCACAGTCAACATCATCTACCAGCTTGCTTTCTCAGTGGAGAGAAAGGGTTGACAACTACTCTTCTAGTTGCATGTTACTACACTTTGTTTCCCTGACTAGTAAATTCATGTATAGATGTTTCTTCTTAATCTTCTCTGTGTTTCAGGGAATCACCTGGGCCAGTGTGAATGGGAGAGCAATGCTTTCTTGCAGTCACCATGGCTTGGGCAGCAGTGTTGACTACTTCCTCAGAGGAAAAATGAGTATCTGGGAACAGGTACATGGCTGTGAAGATTTGCTTTTCCCACAAGAAGATTTGCTCTCCACTGCCAAACTAAAGCGTTATTTTATTATGGAAAATACATTTTTATTACAGGAAGCTTTTTAACACTCTCCAGGCAAATTAAGTCTTTCCCATCTGTTCTCCCATAATTCTGAATGTATGTTTATACTATAAGTCCTATCACTTTGCATTCAAATTATTTGTTTACATGACTGTATCCTAGTATATTGAGAAGTCACAGCAAACATTGATGGAAACTTACATTGCTTTGAATTACTATTGCTTAATCAGCATATGCTTGGTGTTGTAATAATCACTGTTGATCAGTGAGTCAAATGTGACCAGAAAAACAGATAAGCATTCATCACATTAAATTTGGAGTCTCTTTTGTGGTTTTTTTTTTTTTTTTATAATAACCTTAGTTTACAATTTTATTCTTTATCCTACATCTTTAATCATCCATGGATAAGGAGCATTCAAATATTTGTTAATTAATTTATCATCTATGTCATACTAACATATAAAATGTAACATAGGGAATAGAGCTATGAGTCACACTCAGAGTTGTTTTTCTGAAACATATTTGATAGCATCAGCCCTTGACAAGTTTATTCAGGGCCTACTAAGTAAAATCCAAGCTCTTTGATTTGGCATTTGGACCTCATTTTTTTTTTTTTTTTTTTAAGGACACTTCCTATAATTTCTACACTACTACATTCTGCTTCCACTAGGTATTTTTTATGCTAAATACTTTGGCTTATATAACCAAAGTCCCAAAGGCTTCTCTCCCATTATGCTTCCCTTTTCTGCCTCCCTACTATTCCTAGATTATTTTATTCCATTTTGAGCCTCTCCTCTCTCTCTCTCTCTCTCTCTCTCTCTCTCTCTCTCTCTCTCTCTCTCTCTCTCTCTCTCAATGACTCTTAATCTTTAGATATGTCTTTTATATTCAATTGCCTGTTGAATATCTCCACTGATAAGCATCTCAAACATAACATGGATAAAAAAAACATATTTCTAAATCCAGAACTTCCTCCTCCACACCCCCCAAGAAAGCATTCCTCCTCAGTAAATGTTAACATCTTTCTTTCAGATGCTCAAAGCAAAAAAATATAGGCATTTTCCTTGCTAACTCTTTTCATCCCCTCACATCTGCCTCTCAAATGTAAGTCATCAGCAAATTCTATTGGCTCATTCTCCAAAAAATAACCTAATCCCATCTACATTTCTCCATATCCACTACTAATTCTGAACTACTGCAATACCCTCCTCCTAGCTGGTCTCCCCACTTCCATCCTTACCATTCATAGTCCAGTTTTTGAACAGTTGATGGAGCATTCCTTTTTAAAATGTTAATAAAGCAATGCCATTTCCTTGTTTTTAAAAAAAATTGTTTTGATTAGCAGAATAATGGTCCCTCAAAATATGTTCTTATCCTAAATCTTTGAAAATCATTGTATGCTATGTTACATGGCAAGAGGGAATTACATAATTCTGGATTACCCAGTGGGCCCAAAGTAATTTTTAAATGTTGAGAACAGATGTAGAAGAGTCAGAATCAAAGTGATATAATGTGAAAAATAGTTAACTGGCCATTTTAGTCTGGAGATGGAAGAGGGCATGAGCCAAGAAATATGGACAGACTCTAGAAGCTGGAAAAGGCAAGGAAAATTTCCCCTACAGCCTCCAAAAGGGATGTTGACACCTTAATTTTAGCCCAGAGAGACTCATTTCAGACTTCCAGCTTCAGAACTGTGAGAAAATAAATTTATGTTGTTTTAAACTACTGGGTTTATGGCAATTTGTTACAGTAGCAATAAGAAACTAATACTCCCTCCCAAAGCTTATCACACTGAAAATAAAATGCAAACTCCATACTCTGTATTACAAACCCTACAAGATCAACTTTTCAATCTCATCATCAACCATTTCCCTCTGCCTTTTATGGGTTCCTCAAACAAGAATGCTTATTTCTGCCTTAAGAAATTTTCACTACCTCCACTCTGTCTTCATTTATTTTTATTTTTAAATTTATCTTTGTTGTTAAAAGTATTACAAATCAACCAAAGACCTTGTATGCATATATGCATAACCCATGGACACAAACAATAGGGTGCTGAAGGCCTGGGGTTGGGGGCAGGGATAGGCTGGAGGGGATCAATAGGGAAAAATACTTTCAACAATAAAAAATTATTTAAAAAAGAGAAAGTATTACAGATGTCTCCTTTGTTTTGCTGTTGTTTTTCTTTCTCATTTACCCCTTCCTTCCCACCCCTCTCCCAAGCCTTCATCACACTATTATCTGTGTCCATGAGCTATGCATATATGCATACAAGTTCCTGGGTTAATCCCCCCCCCCCCCCCCCCCCCCCCCCCCCGCCCCCCGAACCTTCATCCTCTCTCTGAAATTCATCAGTCTGTTCACTCTGGATCTATTTTGTTCATTAGATTCCATATATGAGTGAGATCATGTGACACTTATTTTTTTCTGACTGGCTTATTTCAAGTAGCATAATAGTCATGCTCTTTGCCAAATATCCATGATTGGCTTCTTGCAACTCACATATCAATTTGACTGCTCACCTTTTCCTATAGAGCTTTTCCAACCATCTGATCTAAAGAAATAGTCATTCCTTATCGCATTCCTCTATTTTTATCCTCAGGATTCCCACTTATTAGTTTTCACTATTTTCCTAATATGTATCTATTTCCATCTGCTTCCCCAGTCTCCTCTATAAGAATGCAAACTTCATAAAAACAGAATCTATAATTGTGATGACACATAGTTGTTGGTTCTCAAACAGGCTCCCATACACGAAGGACAAGAAGAGACCAGAGGAGGCAGCCTGCTCCAGACTGGCAGGTGTCAGTTTAATAAGCAAGGGAACTTATTTACAGGCTTGTCTTAGGCATCCACAGGCGAGCAGATCTCCACACCTGCTGCCAGAATCTTCAAAGTTTGTATAGCAGCCTTACCTCAGGTCAGCCAAGTACTCAGATGCTCTCACCAACACTTAGGGTCTCAAATCTTCATGCTTAAAAGGAGTTTTCACTGTGACAACAGTGGGAAGAACAAACATTCCACGTACATTAGAAGGAGTGAGGACCTGGGTCCAGCTCATGGCCAGCTGAGGGTGATGTCAATCTAGAATGACATCATCTAGAAGACCTCCAACAACAACAGTAAGAACTATAAAGTATTTATTGTGTGAAGATGAATAAGTGGTATAATAAATGGCAACTGTCTTGCAGTACTGAACGTAAGGACTTCCTTAATGTTAAGAAAACATAAAAGTCTTCATAAATTTGTAAGTAACTTTGAATAACAAGAAATGAGCTACCTGGTTTTTTTTGTTTGTTTTGTTTTGTTTTGTTTTGTTTTTACCAAGTCCATAAATTTTCACTGACCCCACATTGTTTCATAGATAAGAGGTGAGCTAGGAGCAAAATGCACCATTATTCCACCCTTCCTTTGGTAAACCCT